AAGGTTAGAATAGTCAAGTTTTCTGTCAGTTTTGAGCTTCAGAGCTGCCAGAACTAGGGTATATGGAAGGTAGACAAGCTTGTTGGTGTCATTTAGCATTTAAGCTAATCTGTGAAAGGGGGGAAAAACAAGCCAAAAAGTTCAACACCGTAGTTGTAGGCACAGAACTTGCTGTGCACGCTAGTAGCAAAAAATGCTCCTCCTCCATGAACAAAGTGTTATGTTTCAGTTTTTTTGAACAGTCACTGTGTCTTATGAAACTCTTGGGCATATAGAAAGTGTTGACTGTAAAGGATACACCACAAACTAACGGGGGCGTTTTCACAGCGTTGTGGTAACATCCCAGCAATGTGTCTAAAACGTTGCCACAATGTTACAATAATGCCCTTTTAGACGATTGGCGATGGTTTCTAGGTGTGTGGATGTGTCGTTAAATGTAGACCGAGACTGAAGTGAAGTATTTTGCATTATCTTATTTTTGTACCAATGGTCGTTCTGATCTCACTCACTGAAACCAACGACAACTTGAAAAATAATTGTAGGTCGTTTACCGAAGTAAACAGATTGACATTTCCCATGTAACCACATGTTAATACAATGTTCTATAGTTAATACTGTTTAGGGACATAAGTATAAGGGTGTATAGAGTTAGCCTGCAGGAACCAATTAACTGTTGACAGACGGTTGAGAAAGGTGCTTGGTTTTGGTTGACCCATCTGAAGTGCTTGTCAGGATAGGACAGCAGTGCCCCATTTGACCAACTGCACCTGCGTCACAGCCCTACGGGTTGATGGATACTTTGCCAGGCTAGGACATCGATGTTGGATAGATACCACTCCACTACCAACCCTCCTCTCACCATACACACACTATTGCCATTAAGGTCATTAACCTATTCTCTTCCCATTTATTACTTGTAGGGCTGACCCCATTTAGTCAACTGGTCGATTGTTTGGTCGATAGGCTGTTGGTCGACTGAGATTTCTTTAGTTGAGCAGTAGCAACAACAAAAAAACATTATTCATGGTATTCAAGACACCTGTCTGATATGCGCCTGTCTGAGTGGACTGATCCATTGTGGAGGCCATGGGGATGGCCCAGTCCATCGCTCTAAAGCATGTGCTACTGAAATTGTATATGGTTAAGGACAATGATGCAACACTAATAAAAATATTATTTTATAACAAATGCTCTTTCTCCCGCGTTTGATAGCGGTCGCTGTCCACGGTTCTGAAACATCAGTGTGCTGTTGAATTGGCGCCTTTTCCTAGACCATGTTGCTATGTGCATAATAGCAAAGTTAACCAGCATATTGGTGTTGAGAACAATGTGGCGGAGGCAGCAGTGGAGTTAGGAGATGAGAAAACAGCCCTTGCCTTAATTGTCTAAGAAAAGTGAGGAAACCCCAACTTAATTAGATCTATAATCAATAACCTAACTGTTAAATGGGCCTGGCTTTATAAATCATCAATATATCTACAGAACTAAGACAGATCCTGCTTGTGTTGCCTTTTGTTTAATAGCCTACTGATTCTGTGAGCAGCAAGCCTCACGCAACCACATGTCGGATGAAGAATTTCACAAAATTCTGCTGTGTTTAATCTTTGCAATGCTGTAACAAAAGCTTTACACTTTTTTTCCCCCCGTTAGAACAGCCTCTCTGGTATTACGTATAATTTATTTAGTGTTATTTACACTTCCAAATTGTCAGAATAATTATATTTATAATAATAATAATAACCCTCCTTTTTCTTGATCTCCTTCTTATTGTTATATTACTATTATTATGATCATCATTATAATAATAAGTAATGTCATAATCATTATCAGACTTAGTAGCCTATAGCAGCCTTGTATAACCACCATCGAGCTTGTAGGCCTAAGAGCGCGTGCTGTTTAGTCTTAATACCGTAACTTACTTAGGCCTATATTTCAATACTTATATAGGTTACTGTATCAATCAATCATTCATTCGTTCATGTCATCACACAGCATACGAGTCATTCATCATTTGAAATGCAATCAAGCATTTTAGTTTTAAAATAACAAAGCGACCTTTGAATAATTAGCGTAAACAATAAATAAACCGTTCCATTTCGGCAATTACATTCACGAATGCATGCAACTGTTTTTAGTCTTTGCTGTAATAAAGGCTTCACAAAAAAAAAAAAAAAAAGTACAACATTTTACATTTACATTTTAGTCATTTAGCAGACGCTCTTATCCAGAGCGACTTACAGTTAGTGAGTGTATACATTTAATTTTTTTATACTGGCCCCCCCGTGGGAATCGAACCCACAACCCTGGCGTTGCAAACGCCATGCTCTACCAACTGAGCTACATCCCTGCCGGCCATTCCCTCCCCTACCCTGGACGACGCTGGGCAAATTATTCGCCGCCCCATGGGTCTCCCGGTCGTGGCCGGCTATGACAGAGCCTGGATTCGAACCAGGATCTCTAGTGGCACAGCTAGCACTGCGATGCAGTGCCTTAGACCACTGCGCCACTCGGGAAGACCACTGCGCCACTCGGGACAGACTCTCTGGTACGCTTTTAATATATTTAGTGTTGTTTACAGAAAAATTATATTGTAATCTAACAGCACTTATTTGGTACTCATAATATGACACAGTGCTTGCTCCTTACCTTATTTTTCTTGATCTCCAGTATTTTCCCCACAACTAGTCACATTTATTCCACACATCTGACTTCCCCTTTACCTCCTGAGCAACCAGTAAACATTCCCCCGTTTCAAGTTTATTTGTCAAGTCATCTGCATTCATCTTGCTGTCACGTGTGTTACGGTGTTCAGAGTTTGTTATAACCAATTTATTGATGTGATTATGATGCTATAGGTCAGGCCCTATTGGTCACGTGCATGCGATGCATACATGTGTCACATAAAGCGAGCAAGGGTTGAGGGAATGTTTTTCCTGAACAAGTGAGGGATTTCGGTAACAAAACTTTTCAGTCAGAAATGGCTGTAATTCTGTTGCAGCTTCAGCAACACGGACAGCGCGATATACAATGTTGATGTTTTGTGGTGGTTGCTGCAGCAGGGAGGAGAGACAGACAGTGGGTGCTAGTCACACAGTCACTCGCTGTATTTTTTATTAAATTTTTACAAAGCGCAGAAAGTCTGAGCCATGCCCGGCACAATCAAATCAATTGCGGTCGGACTCCCTCTAGTCATTTGTGTGTCTTAACTATTTAATCAAACAGAGCGCTTAAAGCATCAGACAAGCTCAGTGCATATAGTTGATTTGATTAAAATACATAGGATGTGTCTATATATGGAAAAATACCCATAATTATTTTTCTACCAATCGATTGGTTGAAAGATCAGAACTCTCGATCGACCAAGATTTTTTTTTTAGTCGGGGACAGCCCTAATTGCTTCTCATTAATACAACACGTATGGTTTTCCATAGAACGTATGACATCAAATATGAACAAGTATTAACCTTTTTTTGGCAAATGTCATTATTACATTGTTATTAGTTATTAGTATTTTTTTAAACGTATTTTTACACAAAGCTATTCCAAAGTTATTCACAGTGCACTAGTTGATGATTCAACTGTGAGTAGGGCTTTCGGAAAAAAAGAGAACACCATGGTGAGGCTCAATCTTACATTCATTGTGTTTGGAGCTTATCTTTGTATTGGGACCTTATCAGTTGATAGCAGTGCAAAACCGCACACTGTTGTTTAGTTAGTTAGTTAGTCAGTCAGTCAGTCAGTCAGTCAATAAATGGATTGATATCAAGCTTATGTGAAGATACGACTCATTGAAAGACAATATATACCTGGATTGATTGCTGTGAAAATGGGTTGGAATTGATTCTGAGACTGTTGTTGGGTAATGTATCTATACATTACTTACTTTAAGATACAGTATTATAGCCTTGTTTTTCTTTTCCTAAAATATCTGTACAGTCAATTTTAACAACAGAATGTCCCTTAAAAGACATTGGCTCTTAAGCTATTTTGAGTCTGTTCAAGGTCTGCATTCTAAAATAAGTGTCTGTTCTAGGTGAGTTATTACAACGTTGAAGGTTTCTCACTGTCAGGTTTGTGTGAGTGCAGCCGCACGCTCACTCAAGTACTTTGCTCAATCTTTAGGCCTAATGCTAATGACTTAACAATGTTGTTCAAACATTTAGCAATCTCTACTATACCATCTTATTACCAGGCAGTGCTGATATCATTACTCACCCCAGGTGATTTTCTTCCCCCCCAAAACATCAGCTCGATGAACAATCGATAAAAAAATTAATATATATACATTGGGGAGAACAACAGGTAACGAGTTAAACAGGTGCAGTTAATACAGGTAATGAGTGGAGAACATGAGGACTTCTTAAAGAAAAACTAACAGGTCTGTGAGAGCCGGAATTCTTACTGGTTGGTAGGTGATCAAATACTTATGTGATGCAATAAAAAGCAAATTAATTCCTTAAAAATCATACAATGTGATTTTCTGGATTTTTGTTTTAGATTCTGTCTCACACAGTTGAAGTGTACCTATGATTAAAAAAAATACAGACCTCTACATGCTTTGTAAGTAGGAAAACCTGCAAAATCGGCAGTGTATCAAATACTTGTTCTCCCCACATGTATATATATGTATATGTATATGTATGTATATATGTATATATATATTATTTTATTTATATGTATGTATATATATATATGTATGTGTGTGTATATGTTTTGACACTTTATTCAGACAGTTAGAAAATGAGATGGAGACAGTCAAGTAGGAGAAACAGTGGGGATGTTGGTCACGGGGATTGAACCCCAGTCCCCAGTGATTGTTTTAATGTCTATTGACAAGTTGAGCTCTGATCAATGCCCTCCAGGCCAGGAACATTGGTTATCCCAGTGGTAGAGACAGTCTTGTTCTTTCTTTCTTGGAAAGAGTTTAGGAAAGGCCGTAGCTCCATGAACCCTTATAAACCTGTAAGGTTTAGTCGATATTCTCTGACATGCAACTTCAAATGACTTCGGACACTCTATTAATCTCCTCCCCACAGCACACCTCGCACACCGATGGGCGCAACGAGGTCACCACGCGGCCCGGACGCTCAGGCGCCCGCTGCCGGAACTCCATCGCCTCGTGCACCGACGAGCAGCCGCACATCGGCAACTACCGGCTGCTCAAGACCATCGGAAAGGGCAACTTCGCCAAGGTCAAGCTGGCGCGCCACATCCTCACGGGTCGAGAGGTGAGACACCTGCAGACACAGGAGGCACCTGCCATGTTTGATAGCACATATTCTACTTTGTTTGGCTAGAATAGAATTCAGTAATTGTTTCTACTCAATAGTTTTTTTTTTCTTTTTTTCTTTTACCAAAGTTAGTTAGTGGACTCACCTCACCCTTGCTGTACTTGACAAGTCAAGGGGCAATGCACTGCACCAATTGTAACAATAGTCACTGTAATTGAATTTTGTTTGTTGGTGAAACAAACAAAATGCAAGTTGGGAAATTTTTATTAAATGTACTGTGCTTAAACACAGTAAACAAACTTACTGAAGCAACAAAAAGGAGGCAAATTGTATTGAGAACCTCTCCAGCCCTCCGTTCTCCCAGAATGCTTTACGCACTCTAAAATTGCACCTTGGCAATCTGAGAAACAAGTTTGTTGTCATTGAGTGGCCCTCCGATAGGCATGCCACTTCCTGTGTTGAGTTAGGAGTGGTTTCAGCAGGAAGTGATTGTTGTCCTTTACTCTCTCTTGACAGGTTGCCATTAAAATCATCGACAAGACACAGCTGAATCCTACCAGTCTTCAAAAGGTAAAATAAAAACCTGTCTTGTCTCCCTATTGAACAGTACACAGCCTTCTCCAACGTTATTTCCACGTTAGTGTTGTGGATGACTGGGATATCATTAAGCCTGCGCTGCAGTATATAATATTTCTACTTTGAAAGCGGTAAAAAGCATTAGTACATTAGTAACACTTTTATGCCCTATATCCGTTATGTATTATACAATCAGTCTGGTTTCTATTTTGATGGCGGTGCCCTGTGAGTGTGTGGGACTTCCCTTCATCAAGTAGCCCTTGAAACTAGTTTTGTACCGAAATGCACAATTATAGCTAACTAATACGATTCCCCGTGGGATTCTGACATGTTGTCATTCTGGGTGCTACAGTACGTGTCTTGGCAGCACAACTAGCTTAATTTCAGTGTGTGTAACCCACTAACTTCCCAGCAGACTCAGCATTAGTTTGAGCAGAGGCGCAAAGTCCAGACCCCCTTAAAGGTCTAAGTCGTCGTACTGCACTGCACCTCATGGCGGGAGGAAACGGGGTAAAGTGGCGGCTGGTAGTGGAACCCTCAGCGGACTTGGATTTCAGAGGCTGCTAATAATACCCTCGGAGGAGATATCAGAATTAGAGGCTGGTGAAAGAACAGCGCTGGCCCTGCCGACAAGGAAAGAGAATCAGCAACTGTGCTGTAGCGGGGAAAAGGAAAGGGGAGAGGAGGCCGTTGGAGGGTCTGGAGCACACAGTACCAAAACCTTCCTCCTCAAGGCCCATTTTATTATTATACTCTGATGAAAGCTGAAATGATCCGATGCTAAAACATGCCAGCTGGCCCAAAAATAAATGTATGGTGAGGTGACGTCTTTCTGGACTTTTTTTATTTAAAATACTATTTTGAGTGCCGTAACTTGGACATCATGACCTTTTCCCCTGATAATGTTTTGTGGCAGAGTAACCATAACCCAAAATTAGGGCACGTGCCAACAAGTAATATCATATATACAAATACATTTCGACCCACATGGAATTGTAGTAGACGTTGCTATGGTGCCCCTGGGTGGCAATTTACCAGACTGCGGCTACTGCCCTGTCCGACCCCCTTCCTTCAGCTATATAGATCAGACTGTCACATTGGGGTCGGTGTGAGACTGATGATGTTCATCCCCCCGCCACCCCACCAACTCCTATAATTAGCCAGCACTTGTTTTTCCAGGCCATCGATTTGGTTTGCTTTCCATTCGCTGGCCAATCGACAGCCCGTGGCTTGAACTGTGGGTATACAGGATGAGAGGAGAGAGGGGATGGACACAAGGACGATGAAGGAGAGGAGAGCGGGCGAGCGTCATGCTGCACTCTCTCTAGTTTCTCTCTCGCTCTCTCGCTCTCCACCCGGTTGCTTAGCACTTCACCAGGAGGCACACTGCTTTCTGGGTCGGCAGGCAAAGCCAACAGGCATCTGAGTGATGAAGTGGTTATAAACACTTTCTGGTTGCTGCGCCGTTGCGTAACTGAGCCTCCAGTGGGCGTCCAACGGAGCCGGATAGGGTCGGCTGTGCTGTGTGCCCAGGAAGGCAGGTGGTGACACGGGGCACCACAGTTCTCTGAACAAGCTTGATGTGTCCTCATAACACTTTTTGTCCTCAAAACACTTTATGTTCTTACAACGCTTTATGTCCTCACTACACTTTATGTCCTCACAACACTTTGTCCTCACAACACTTTGTCCTCACAACACTTTGTCCTCACAACATTTTGTCCTCACAACACTTTATGTCCTCACAAAACTTTATGTCCTCACAACGCTTTATGTCCTCACAACGCTTTATGTCCTCACAACGCTTTATGTCCTCACAACACTTTATGTCCTCACAACACTTTATGTTCTTACAACGCTTTGTCCTCACAACACTTTGTCCTCACAACACTTTATGTCCTCACAACACTTTGTCCTCACAACACTTTATGTCCTCACAACACTTTATGTTCTCACAACACTTTGTCCTCACAACGCTTTATGTCCTCATAAAGCATTGTCTGATAAGTCATAGTCTCTATGGTCTGGCCCTTCCTCCCAGTACTGGTCACTGAGGAATTATTATCTGTAAGACCTCTGAGTCCATGTTGAAAGGTCTGCTCAGTCTGTTCAACTGGATTACTATGGCAGCTTTGGGACAAAGTTAGTTGATCAGGACTTGAAGGATACGAGTGGTAATACAGTACACAGTAAATGCTGTAGTGGTAAATCATTTTGAATGTTAAACTCACCTGAATACCCCCAATGGGAACTATATAAAGCCGTCTCTCTTCACTGCTGTTAAATGGATCTGTCATTCACTCTCATGTAATCTTTGAACATTTCCAGCATTTAGGTGGAAAGTATGTCCAGCCTTTTTTATTTTTACATTTTGTATTATTTGTAATTCTTTTTTTACAGCCCATCTGGGCATCCTAAATTAAGGACCTCATTCAGACAAAGGGCACCTTTGTCCAGCTAAAACATTTTCACCCCTCCAGCCTTCTTTACCTCCCCTCTTGCGCTCATCAGTTTGTTTCACAGACTCGTTCGCTGCAGCTATTTTTATTTGCGTTGGTGTGACGTGTGACCTCTTATGTAATTGGTGGGAGTGGGAGGAGAGCCTCACTGCGGAGTCAGTCAATCTTACTGCTTTTAGAAGCAAGTGGTTTTATTAAGACCGGGGTCAGGGCACCGGGACGTGAATACAAGTAGCGGAGGATGAGTCTGAAGTATACCAGTGAAATCCTTCAAACACATCAAGGGGGATCTGCTAGAGGTGTGATGACGTCACCCTTACCTGGGTGTCGTGAGTTATGTTAGTCAGCCATAGGATGTGTGGGGGTGGAAGGAGTGGGCGATATTGGTCAGGAGAATTGTTTGCCAGCTTTGGTAGATAACATCAGTTGATTTTACCTCTAAATGTTAGTGCCATACACACAGTTTGTATTCAGACACTAATTACTATCATTACTTTTACATTTTAGTAATTTAGCAGACGCTCTTATCCAGAGCAACTTACAGTTAGTGAGTTCATACATTTTTAAATATTTGTTATATTTTTTTTTATACTGGCCCCCCGTGGGAATCGAACCCACAACCCTGGCGTTGCAAGCGCCATGCTCTCCCAACTGAGCTACACGGGACAAGTCATTGTATCTTGTCAGTGTCAGCTCCGTATCAACATAGCGGTTTCACATTCAAAATGTTTTCACACTGTTGTGTTTATGGATTGAAATGAGTGTCTACACAATAATCTCTATTATTCCACTAGTATGAGGCCGTATTCAATCCAAGCTGGCCACAGTGAATTTCTGGTGGAAAGACGAAACGATAGTCTGCCTGTACGGTGCTGCATGTTTGGATGAATATAATCAGGAAGAGAATGATTCATGTGTGAAACAAAAAGATGCCCAATTATGGTGTTCATTCATCTTCCTCACAGTACGGGAAGAAGGATTTTTTGCTCCAAACCGGGAAACTCCCAGTTAACGCTTTTGATTGAATAACAACCTTTCGTTTCCAACTCCTCCACATACTGCAATTACCCTATTGTGGAAGCAGAGGGGCGAGCAGGTACTGTAAGGTGTTTTTTGTAGGTGTAACCCACAGTTTTGGGACCGGGACTACAGTTAGCGATGCCTCAGGAATGCGTGCGCCGGAGCGAACAGGGTTGTCTGGCGGCCCTTAGCTATGTTGGCCAGTCCCATTTTGCTTCTGGCAAGGCAGTGACCTCATTGGCGTTGACATCAGCCAGTAGCAGAAAGGGACGGTTGCTGTTATGTCTGTGCCTCTCCATTTGTTTACTCATCTGTTTAGCTGTTGTGTCTGGGCTCGACCTGCATCTTCATAACGTCTGAGGGAGCTGTCTTGCTTTTGCATAGTGCACTCTATTTTGTGGGTTGAGGGGGGGGGGGGGGGGGGGGTCATTCAGATTCAAAATAAGGATTGCTTTCATAGGATGTTAGGATGAGGAGCCAGCCAAATGAATTATACACCTCTGCTACCATTCTAAAGAAATGAGTGTCTACGGTGATGTGTCGTATGACATCCATCACACTTTATCTTTAAGAGATCCACAGACGCCCATCATCCAAGGGCTCTGGGAAGATTGATTGTGTGTTTCTTTGTAGTCCCAACATTACTCAATTTCCTCCGTGTTCCTTGCCGATGTCTTCTGCAGACTGAGTCACCAGACGTTATGTATCACGGTGTGGGTAGCAGCTGCAGAGTATTCTCCTATCGGGAGACGCGCTAGAGGAGAAGAGGTGGAGAGAGAACCGATTTTGGGGCACCCCCCCCCCCACAAAAAAATATCACTTTCCCCAGCCACAAAATTCACAAATTCTGTTTTAATAGCTTTGAATGACTGTAAAGGAAATAACTAGGCCTATCTGTGTCAGTTGATGTGGAGTTGAGTCCTGGTTAGAGTCATGAGACACTGAGACTCCGACCCCTCTGGATGCAAACGTCGCTGCAGGGCATTAGTCTGCCTTAGCTGATGTCTACTCCCCCAGATGTCGTTGTTGTGTCTGTGAAGGATACAGGTGGCCGCCCTCCATGGGGGAAGCGCAGGCCCGTAAGTGGTTCCTCTCGGCCCGGACTCTCCCTCTCCTCTCTCTGGCACTCCAGAGGCACACTGCCATCAAATGTTTCTGGAACATTCCCTTTCCTGTTTTTCTTTCTACAGGAGAGTGAGATTTGTTTTCCCTGTGCAATATATATATATATTTTTTCCCCCTTACCACTCCATAGTGCAGCACCATCGTCACCACAGCTTTAGAGGCAGTACTGTGACGGGATTGTTTTTGTTTTATTTTTGGGTCGGCACGGCTGAGCCGCCGTCACACTGCACGTATTATCTTCTTTCCTCATAATTCTTTTTTCAGACATTTGACCTCGGAGGTGCTCATGTCTAGGTCGTATTTGAGGTGCCAGGCCAGGCGACGGTCAGGGCTGGGGTGCTGTGGCTGCGTTAAATCTCTCCAGCAACCTGTCTTTCCATGACCCTCCATGACCCCAGGCAGACTCAGGCAATCCTCGCTACCACACCACACCCACACCACCTAGCCAGACTGCTTCCTTCCTCCCGGGCTCTGTTTGTGAAGCGATGAGTCACCACCCGGCGCTAAGGGCGTTCATCATCCATAACCGAGGATTGTCTTGAACAAGCGAATTTCAGGGGGTTGGGTGACCAATATACCCCCTTCACTGAAATTAACTGCCTTCTAGGGTTCATATGAGCAATCTGAGTAAAAGAGCTACCCAGATAGCTCGAAAGCCACAGAGGTTTTATTTTTCCTTTTATTACATTGTCTACTCACTAAAGGCAAGGGGCATTCTCTTTAGGGCCACCTCCCTGGCATGTAGAGATATTTGTGATGTGCTCGACGGTAGTCATATTTCCATAGGATCTTGTCATTTCCCCCTGAAGCTAGGTCACTTCAAACGAGAGGGTTGATACTAGAAAACACCAGCATCTTGACCAACAGACGCCCAATTCAGACCAAAATAAACCTGATAGTAGACCAAATAAACTAGGTAAATGAGTTCAGCTGAACTTCATATTGTATACAGTTGAAGTCGGAAGTTTACATACACTTAGGTTGGCATCATTAAAACTTGTTTTTCAACCACTCCACAAATTTCTTGTTAACAAACTATAGTTTTGGCAAGTCGGTTAGGACGTCTACTTTGTGCATGACACAAGTAATTTTTCCAACAATTGTTTACGGACAGATTATTTCACTTATAATTCACTGTATCACAATTCCAGTGGGTCAGAAGTTTACATACACTATGTTGACTGTGCCTTTAAACAGCTTGGAAAATTCCAGAAAATGATATCATGGCTTTAGAAGCTTCTGATAGGCTAATTGACATAATTTGAGTCAGTTGGAGGTGTACCTGTGGATGTATTTCAAGGCCTACCTTCAAACTCAGTGCCTCTTTGCTTGACATCATGGGAAAATCAAAAGAAATCAGCCAAGACCTCAGAAAAAAAATGGTAGACCTCCACAAGTTTGGTTCATCCTTGGGCGCAATATCCAAATGCCTGAAGGTACCACGATCATCTGTACAAACAATAGTACGCAAGTATAAACACCATGGGACCACGCAGCCGTCATACTGCTCAGGAAGGAGACGTGTTCTGTCTCCTAGAGATGAACATACTTTGGTGCGAAAAGTGCAAATCAATCCCAGAACAACAGCAAACGAACTTGTGAAGATGCTGGAGGAAGCAGGTTCAAACGTATCTATATTCACAGTAAAACGAGTCCTATATCGACATAACCTGAAAGGCCGCTCAGCAAGGAAGAAGCCACTGCTCCAAAACCGCCATAAAAAAGCCAGACTACGGTTTGCAACTGCACATGGGGACAAAGATCGTACTTTTTGGAGAAATGTCCTCTGGTCTGATGAAAGAAAAATAGATATGTTTGGCCATAATGACCATCGTTATGTTTGGAGGAAAAAGGGGGTTGCTTGCAAGCCGAAGAACACCATCCCAACCGTGAAGCACGGGGGTGGCAGCATCATGCTGTGGGGGTGCTTTGCTGCAGGAGGGACTGGTGCACTTCACAAAATAGATGGTATCATGAGGAAGGAAAATTATGTGGATATATTGAAGCAACATCTCAAGACATCAGTCAGGAAGTTAAAGCTTGGTCGCAAATGGGTCTTCCAAACGGACAATGACCCCAAGCATACTTCCAAAGTTGTGGCAAAATGGCTTAAGGACAACAAAGTCAAGGTATTGGAGTGGCCATCACAAAGCCCTGACCTCTATCCTATAGAAAATGTGTGGGCAGAACTGAAAAAGCGTTTGCGAGCAAGGAGGCCTACAAACCTGACTCAGTTACACCAGTTCTGCCAGGAGGAATGGGCCAAAATTCACCCAACTTATTGTGGGAAGCTTGTGGAAGGCTACCCGAAACATTTGACCCAAGTTAAACAATTTAATCCTACCAAATACTAATTGAGTGTATGTAAACTTCTGACCCACTGGGAATGTGATGAAAGAAATAAAAGCTGAAATAAATCATTCTCTCTACTATTATTCAGACATTTCACATTCTTAAAATAAAGTGGTATTTAACCTTTATTTAACTAGGCAAGTCAGTTAAGAACACATTCTTATTTACAACGACGGCCTACCCCGGCCAAACCCGAACGACGCTGGGCCAATTGTGCGCCACTCTATGGCAATCACGGCCGGATTGTGATACAACCTTGAATCGAACCAGGGTCTGTAGTGATGCCTCTAGCACTGAGATGCAGTGCCTTAGACCGCTGCGCCACTCGGGAGTACTTCCTTATATGTGGTCCTGTTTGGCTCAGTTGGTAGAGCATGGCGCTTTCAACGCCAGGGTTGTGGGTTCGATTCCCACGGGGGACCAGTACAAAAAAAAGTATCAAGATGTATGCACTCACTACTGTAAGTCACTATGGATAAGATCGTCTGCTAAAATGTAAATGTGAAATGTGTTCAGGAGTCTTGTTGGGCACTGTTTATTTCCTGCAGTGCTTCTTGGGTGCAGGAAATTGGGTCACGGGTGGATGCATGTCTCGTTTTGTCTCCGTCTCCCAGGGCATGGAGTACTTTTATTACACATCCTTCATCCTTCTCCTTGAAGTAATCACTGATCTAACACACATGGAAAGGGTTTTATTACATAGCTTTCACCTATCCAGTTTGGTGAAATCGGTGAAAGGGAAGGATGAAAGTGAGGATGAGCACTTTTTAGTATTTGAACAGGGCCTTGATATGTACATGGAAATCAAAACCATCTCCCTGTGATACTGACACTGCCATCAAAGAGAGTGTCAGAGGACATCCATTACAACATTTGTCCAGTAGAATTTTAAGGACTGGAGGCCAGTGACGCAGCGTTTTATCCCAGCGTGTTCTGCAATTATTTTTTATTTTTTATTTTTTTGGCCTTGCTCATGAAAAGCAACCACTGAAACCCCAGTCAGCTATCACCGGTGTCGATCCAATAAGAGAAAGCCACATTTAACTGTCCTGAACTGTGTGGTTTGTTTCAAGCCAAACCCTCAAGACGGTAAGCAGTGAAAGTGCAGGGCCAAACCGCGGTGGTGACATCTTGTCCACCTTCATGGTTCGTGACACACTCACCATATTAGTCCACTAGAAGGACACACTCACCATATTAGTCCAATAGTAGGACACACTCACCATATTAGTCCAATAGTAGGACACACTCACCATATTAGTCCACTAGAAGGACACACTCACCATATTAGTCCACTAGAAGGACACACTCACCATATTAGTCCACTAGAAGGACACACTCACCATATTAGTCCACTAGAAGGACACACTCGCCATATTAGTCCAATAGTAGGACACACTCACCATATTAGTCCAATAGTAGGACACACTCACCATATTAGTCCACTAGAAGGACACACTCACCATATTAGTCCACTAGAAGGACACACTCACCATAGTAGTCCACTAGAAGGATGCCGTTTTCATCTTCACGCCTGTTCCAGGTCATCGTCTTTGCAGTCTTGCTGCACTGATTATTATGTCTCAGGAACCCCATAAATATGATCTGGTAATCTTTTTAGAGATTCATAGCTTGACTGCAAAAAAGACAACCTGGGACAAAACCCATTTCAATTTGGGACAGGTCATTGCATTGGACAGCACAGTCACAGCATTTGTCTTTGGACATCTTAACCCATACAGGACAAGTCATGTTGACCACTGACAGAGTACAGCTAGATCAGGTGTCATGCTACTAGTTACGATGGCCAGAGACGTGTGTGTGTGCCTGTGAGTGTATGCGTGCATGCATGCATATGTACAGGTCTTAGTGTTTCTGCAAGTGTGTGTGTGTGTGTGTGTGTGTGTGTGTACACATTTATGAGTGTATAGATGTCAGATCTGAACTAGATTTTTTATTATTTTTTTTTGAGGAGAATTTTCCTGCTGCATCAGGAAATTCAAATTAGCATCGTGATTTCTTGAAAATGAGCAGTTCTCTTTCTCTCCATGTGGGTGCAGTCGTGTCATTGGGATCAGGCTTGCTATCATAATATTCTCAATCGTTCGCTCAAACACTAGGCCTATGTCCTATTACTGCAACATCCGAAATGCAAATCAACAACCGTCGTTTCATATAGCTTAATAACACAAGATAGATATTGGTCTCCGCTAGGCTACTACATACAAGTGTCAAGTGTTCAATCGTGGCCTGGGGTGGTCTATGGACAGTCCAGGGATATTGTACCCCCGATCTTGATAAGAAATGACCATACAAGACACTGTTGGATAACATACATAGGAAACTACTAAAATAATAACAGTACGCTACACCAACATTACTTTCCATTCATACAAAGTGTCGTCATGATCTGACCTAGTTTTTTTTTTTAAATCTGCCTTAGCAGAGAGGAAGAGGAGAAGCGAGAGGGCTCACTCTCGCCAAAATATGTCCAGAATACAGCCCAATGCGTTTCTGTGGGCTTAATGTGCAGACCTAAGCTTGTCGCCTGCCTTCGTCATCACATCATTAAAAAGAGATCTGACCGTTTTTTATTTATTTATTTTTTACAAGACATCTGGGAACTCGAAGAAAAAAAAAACTAGGTCAGATCATGACGTGGGTGATCTTCAGGTCGGAAAGTCGGACCTCTAGAAAGATGCCAGTTTCCGACTTGGAATTCGGAGTTGGATGACCTTTCAAAACTATTTTTCCCAATCTGAGCTTGTTTTTTCCCGGGTTCCCAGTTGTCTTGAACACACTGAAGTTGGAAGTCGGAGATTTCCGAGTTCCTAGTTGTTTTGAACGCGGCATTAGGTGACACTGACGTCATGTTTTAGGGCGCGGTAATGAGGTGACCAATAATAGTTGCAATTGAGATCAGCTGTGCGGGTGAATTTAGCGCGAATTGATGGTTTAACGAGACATCAGCTGGTGATGATCTCATGCCATCCATTGCTTGCAATAGACCCCTTGTTATTTGATTATATTCCAATACGCTACATTTTGTAGGCTTCCCATTAGCCTATCCATTGTCACATAATGAATGGTTTGAAAACCGATAATATGCTACTGTTTGTTTCCCTGGCTGAGTTGATGGGCTGAGTTGATGGGCTGAGTTGATGGGCTGAGTTGATGGGCTGAGTTGATG